CAGTGGAATCCTCCTTGCTGGACTCAAAGACGGCTCTTAGCATCGGGACTGCGAGAAGACAAGACTTGCCTTGAAAGACAATAAAGTGGAAGGCAGTAGGAAAAAAGGAAGACCTGACACGAGATGGATGGACAGACAATAAAGTGGAAGGAGGCAGGAAAGCTGTGGAGTCCTGTGAACAAAAAAAACTTCTTTGTGAGCTACTGGCATTAAAGTTGTGAGCGAGCGATTTGGCTACGGCACACATTAGTTTGCTCTGGAGCCGTCCTTCCTGTGCTAAGGCAAAAATGTGTGAGCTGGAGGCTAAGAAGCTATGAGCTAGCTCACACAGACTCAGCTTAGAGGGAACACTGGACTCGATCAAGGCAGCCACGGCCAATGTTCCCTCTAAGCTGTAGAGTCTTGTGTGCAAAACTTCTACTTTGTGAGCTACTGGCTTTAAAGTTGTGAGCGAGCGATTTGGCTGCTGCGTAACTTAGTTTGCTCTGGAGCCCATCCTTCCTGAGCTAAGACAAAAATGTGTGAGCCGGAGGCTAAAAAACTGTGAGCTGGCTCACACAAACTCAGCTTAGAGGGAACACTGGCCATGGCCCTCCGTTTACAAGAGCTGAGTGCGGCTGTTAACGATGGGGTGTTCTGGAGGTCACAGGGTTGTTGTAATTTGGAAGCGACGTCATGGCACATAACACACAACGGGGGTCCAAGCATCTCAATGTGTCACCCTCCTCAGAACACTGAGACTGTCAATATCCCTCTTCCGGTTTATGCTTGTAGTCTTCCTGGTGGCAAAGCCAGGGGTGGATAAGAACTGTCTATTTCCCAGGGAACCTTGGTGCAGTCCAAGAACATGTGACCGAATCTCAGAAACCAAGGTGGGGGTGAGCCTTCCTGTGCAATCCAAGTGAATGCTTGCCAAATTCTTATTCCAGATTTGTTTTAATAGAAGGAAGCATATGAAATGATGGCCAAACACAGAGACACCCCTGTGTCTGAAAAGGACTTTGGAGAGGGAAAAGCTGCAGTGCCGAGTCAGGCCAAGGTGCCTCTGCACTCTCTCCGCCAACAACTGGCACCCAGACGGCATCAGAAGCTCTGCATGGAAGGCACGAGATCAGGCTATACACCCCTTGTTGCTATTTCCCACTAAAGGTCAAAAGACTTGCAAACAGCTATTTGCCTGGTGGTGCCGTGGGCCAGCTTGACCAGCCTGAGCCCAGTGTGGCAGAAGACTCTCGAGGAGTCGAGGAGCCACATGCAGCCAGCTCTGGGCCAGCTGAAGTGCGTGAATTAGAGATACAGGAGCCTCAAGATTCAGGACCTTGACCCACCCACAGCTCTGAAGTAGCCAAGCACAGCTGCAGGATAGTAGTCCAGCAGGCTCCCCCCTTTGTTAAATGAACAGCGAAGGGAAAGGCTCTGACAAGACTTAAGGACACACAGACAGAGTGCCCGCCTCTTGGCTCAATGAGAGCAGTTCTGAGTAAGTGCAGGAGCACCTCTGAGCAGATGGCTGTAAATCAGGCTTGTTAAGGAATGCCTACATAAATCAGACCTGGAGAACTGCAGGTTGGAGAAGCAACTTGTTGTAACTCTGTGAGCACAACCCTGGACTCTGCCTGCCTCCTGTGACCTTCGGACCGACCCTCAACTCTACTTTTCGGACCTGCCTGAACCTTGCTGATCCACCACCTTGGACTGCCTTGACTCTGCTTTCCTGAACAACCCCTGAACTCTGACTGGTGCTAAACTGGTATTTGACCCCTGGACTGGACTGGACTCCTGACTGTGATCTGGCTCTGTGGCCTTGCTCTGCCTGTATTCCAGGAGAGACTGCCGCTCAGAATCTCCTCCAGGTGACCCCTGGCAGGAATACTTACAGAAGTTGGATCCCACCCCCAAATTATGAGCCTAAGTGGATTAGTACAAATGTTTTTCTGGGCTAGTGGGTTTATTTGGAAGGTGGCATACAAGGCTGAGCTCATTGTGCAACTCTGCAAGGCCTCAGGGTAAGTGCAGGATTTGGCACTGGGTGCAGTATGCAGCACCTTGAGAATCACAAGTATGCTTTCTTCTTCTTCTTAAAAAAATATCCCATTGCAAGGTTGCAAAAACAAGCTTTATTGTCTGTGGGCCAGACACGGGAGATGGTAGGGGAGATAGAGGAAGGCAAATGGAGAGATGGCAAGAGAAACGGAATGGATTCTTTCTGTCTGTTTTAAATGTGGCAAATCTTGGAGGGATCCACTTATTTCGGGGGGGAGGGTATTTGAGTCTAGTAGAGATGATGAGAGAGACACATGAAGCTGCCTTGTAATAAATCAGCCCTCTGGTCCATCCGTAGTGTCTACTCAGACCGACAGCACCTCTCCAGGGTTTGAAGCAGCAGTCTTTCGCATCCTACCCAAGCCTTTCAGCTGGAGGTGCCAGATATCAAACTGCTCAGCAGTCGCTCTACCAATGAATGCAGCCCCTCCACAAAAGTTCTTGGACGGCTGGGCACAATAAAAACCTTCATTTCTGGTTTACACAGGAACACACACTACGAACAGAGCGACTGCCAAGGACAGAATGGTGGTTCACAGTTACCATCTCTGATGAGCATGGGCTCCTCAGTATATGCAAGCCTGATTTATAACTATTATTTGGAGCTACACTTTTCCCAGTGACTCATATACAACCTGCTTGGCCTGAAAAAGATATATTTATATTTACATTTTTATGTGTGTTAGTACAATTCAGATCACCGAAGAAGGCCCTCTGGGTTGAAATGCATTTGGTCCTGTGGCTATTATATGTGTGTAACCATTATTGAGACCCAGTGGTTATCGTATGTGCCACTTACACTCGTTGCTATATTCTACAATACAATAACTATAAAAACAGCCAAGAAAAGGTGCCGAGTGAGACAATACAATATTACAGCTACGAAGAATCTGGAAATATACACTTTTATAAGTTAAAAACTAAACAAAAAATAAATCAAATTATATTGACCAAGATCAGAAGGAGGAATGGGCCAGTGTAAAGTAAAATCTTTGGAGCCACCAGGGTCAAGCCTAAAGCAAGAACATTAACAGATCATAAGCCTGTATATTATGTTCTGAGCTTTTATTTGCATTCTATGCGTGTTGTTTTTAATCTGAAGTTTTTGTGCACGGTGTAATAAATAGTTGTATTTTATTTCGTGTTTTAGCTGCTCAAGCTTTTGGTTCCTGACTTGATTTCCAGGTTGGTTTTTCCCCACTTCTGTCGTTTCCTTTTAAAAGGGGGTTAGACAGATACACCCAGTGGTTATCGTATGTGCCACTTACGCTCGTTGCTATATACTGTGTTTTTAAAAAAAATAAAATTTATTTTTAGGGAGACATAATACCATAACTATAAAAACAGCCAAGAAAAGGTGCCGAGTGAGACAATACAATATTACAGATACGAAGAATCTGGAAATATACACTTTTATAAGTTAAAAACTAAATAAAAAATAAATCAAATTATATTGACCAAGATCAGGAGGAGGAATGGGCCAGTGTAAAGTAAAATCTTTGGAGCCACCAGGGTCAAGCCTAAAGCAAGAACATTAACAGATCATAAGCCTGTATATTATGTTCTGAGCTTTTATTTGCATTCTATGTGTGTTGTTTTTAATCTGAAGTTTTTGTGCACAGTGTAATAAATAGTTGCATTTTATTTTGTGTTTTCGCTGCTCAAGCTTTTGGTTCCTGGCTTGATTTCCAGGTTGGTTTTTCCCCCCTTCTGTCGTTTCCTTTTAAAAGGGGGTTAGACAGATACATGGAGGAGAGGTTCATCAGCAACTACTAGCCATGGTGACTAAGGTAAGGTAAAGGTTTCCCTTGCTCAAAAGCCAGTCAAACCCAACTCTAGGAGGCGCTGCTCATCTCCATTTCCAAGCTGAAGAGCCAGCGCTGTCCGAAGACTTCTCCATGGTCATGTGCCCGGCATGACTAAACGCCAAAGTGCATGGAACGCTGTTACCTTCCCACCGAAGCGGTACCTATTTATCTACTTGCAATTTCTTGCTTTCGAACTGCTAGGTTGGCAGGAGATTAAAGGGAACCTTAACTTTCAGAGGTAGTAAATATCTGCATCCCAGTGCTACGAGGAAAACATCAGGGGGAAGGCTTGGTCTCTATGCCCTGTTTGTTGGCCACTGAGTGAAGCAGGATGCTGGACTAGATGGACCACTGGTCTGACCCAGAGGGACTGGCCATGGTGACTAAGGTAAGGTAAAGGTTTCCCTTGCTCAAAAGCCAGTCAAACCCAACTCTAGGACTGAAGTCTCTGCAACCAGAAAGAAGGATGGGATGGAACAAGTTGTGAGAAGGTTTTCCACTGGCCAGGCCTTTTAGAGCCACCTTCTCTGACTTGGGCAGAAAAGGGCCTTTTCCTACTTCTAGAGATCCACTGAGACTGGACCTGGGGATTTCTGCATGCTAAGGGGATCTACCACCAAGTGATAGATGATCCCAGCCTCAGCACTGTCTAATTTGACTGGCAGTGGATCTTTCGCACAGAAAGGTCCTTCGTCACGCCCGCTGCCTGAGATGTCTTCAGCTGGAGATGCCAAGGACCGGACCTGGAAACTCCTGTGTGCAAAGCAGGTGCTCCCAGGGCTGTCAGCTCTGGGTGGAGACATACCTGGAGATTTCAGGGGTGGAGCCTGGGGAGGGTGGGGTTTGGGGAACGGAGGAACCTCAGCAGGGTACAATGCCGGAGAGTCCACCCTCTGAATCAGCTCCAGGGGAACTGATCTCTGTTGTCTGGAGATCAGTTGTAAGAGCGGGAGTCCTCCAGGCCCCACCTGGAGGTTGGCAATCCTATGCTCAACCACACAAGGTTCCTGTTGATCCGAACATCTCATTCCCTGCTTTCTCAAACAGACTTGAACCGGGAGCCTTCTACTGCCTTGTGCGGATGTCTCTCTGTAGTGAGCTACGAGTCTCGCAGATTTGGAGAGAAAAAGGGGGGGGGTGTCATCTTACCTGAAGGCCACGTAGTGGACAAGCAGGCTGCCCAGCATCAAGAGCAAACAGTAGCCAAAGAGCTGCTGGTTAAGGCGCTGCTTTTGATCCAGCTCAGGACCCGAGAAGGGCTCTGGACGGGTCGCGTGGAACTGCTGCCAGTAACGGATGTTGTCATTGGGCTCCGGCTCACGCCTGGGGGGGGACGACACCAGAAGAAGAATCAACATGAGGACCGAAGGATGGGTATTAATGCACAAGGCAGCCCCAAGCAACCCTTCAGACTGCTGCTTGGGGGGAGAAAGGGGCAGCGAGAGAAGATTAAGAAGGACTGTTTAAAGCACTGGGGGGGCCCCTAAGATGGTGGGCGATCTGTCAGAGAAGCAGGCAGGTCACCAAATTACGTATTCGTGTAGAAGAAGAGGTGGTTTTTATACCCCGCTTTTCTCCACCTTAAGGAGTCTCAAAGCGGCTTACAATCGCCTTCCCTTCCTCTCCCCACAACAGTCACCTTGTGAGGCTGAGAGAGTTCGAAGAGAACGGTGACTGGCCCAAGGTCACCCAGCAGGAGGAACGGGGGGAACCAAACCCGGCCCTCCAGATTAGAGTCCACCACTCTTAACCACTACACCACGCTGGCTCTCAACATGTAGATGTTATCCGTATCCTGCTTTTCTCCCAGGGGGGGGGACCAAACCCGGCCCTCCAGATTAGAGCCCACCACTCTTAACCACTACACCACGCTGGCTCTCAATATGTAGATGTTATCCGTATCCTGCTTTTCTCCCACAGAGAGACCCAAAATGACACACGACTTTGTTCTCCTCGCCTTCTTTTTACCCTCATAACAATCCCGTGAGGTAGGTTGGGGGCTGACAGAGAGAGAGAGAGAGAGAGTCAGATGTGGGGAAGAGAGCACCAACGGCCCGAGGTCACCTAATGAGCTTCCATGGCTGAATAGGAATTCAAACCTGGGTCTCCCAGATCCTAATTCTATCTATTCCAACTCCAAGGGGCTTAACAGTTTAAAACAATGAAGGAAAACAGCAGAGGGAAAATGAGAGACAGAGAGAGAGAGAGTGAGAGAGAGAGAGAGAGAGAGAGTGCAAGAGAGAGAGACAGAGAGAGAGACAGAGAGAGAGACAGAGAGAGAGAAGAGATTGGATTTATACCCCGCCCTTCACTTGGAGTCTCAGAGCGGCTTACAAACTCCTTTCCCTCCCCCTCCCCACAACAGACACCCTGTGAGGTGGGTGGGGTTGAGAGAGCTCTAACACAAATTGCTCTTTTTCAAGGACAGCTGTGCCAGAGCTTGTGACTGACCCAAGGTCACATCGGCAGGTGCAAGTGGAGGAGTGGGGGAATCAAACCCGGTTCTCCCAGATTAGAGTCCGCACACTTAACCACTACACCAAACTGGCTCTCAGAGAGAGAGAGAGACAAAGTTACAACTAGCCCTGCCTCATCTTCAGGCAGAGCATGAGCCCACTGGACTCCATAGTGTCTACCCTTCTGACAGGCCGCAGCTCTCCAGGGACGCAAGGCAGAGAAAGGCCTCCCTCCCTCAGCCCCTGTTGGCAGCCAGCACCCCTGTCCCTTGCCTTGCTCCAAAGCTGTCGAAATCAAACGGGCTTCCCTTGGGGCCACGGTTCTGGCTGCTGGAGGAAGGCCAGGGCCTCTGAGCCACTCTCAGGAAGTCGTAGTGCCGCCGGCTGCTCTCCTTGCTCAGCACCCGGTAGGCTTCGTTCAGCTTCACAAACTGGTTGTGCAGGTCCGGGTTGGCCGGGTTGCTGTCAGGATGGAGCTGAAATGGAAGGGAGGAATCAGAACCGGAAGTGGCCCCAGCTCCGGCGACAAATACACGGCTGTGTCTCTGTGGCAGCAGGCTGGACAGATGGACCATACTATCCATCCCCGCACCTTCTCTCCCTGAAACACTCAATCACAACATGCAAAGACTGGTGGTTTTGTTTTTTTAAATGAGAGACATAAGAAAACGATGAATTCATGCACATGCACACTGCCAGTCTGGAGTGGTACATCTGGAGTTCTACATGGCCACCTCATCCTCTACGATCTGTTGCCAACCTTCAGGTGGGACCTGGAGACCTCCCAGAAGTACAACAGATCAGTCCCCTGGAGAAAATGGCTGCTTTGGAGGGTGGATCCTATGGTGTCATGCCCACTGAGGTCCCTCCCCAAACCCAGCCCTCCCCCAGGCTCCACCCCTGAATTTCCCAATTTCCAGAGCTGGCAGCCCTACATACAATGGAAAGGTCAGCTCCTAGTGCAATCATGAGGGTCAACAGAGCAGTGAAGCTGATTTATGGTGACCCTGTAGGGTTTTCAAGAAAAAGAGGAACAGAGGTGGTTTGCCACTGCCTGCCTCTGCATAGCAGTCCTGGACTTCTTTGGTGGTCTTCCATCCAGGTACCAGCCAGGGCCAATCCTTGTTTTGTTTCCAAGATCTGATGAGATCGAGCTAGCCTCGGCCACCCAGGTCAGGGGCAATCTGCAGGGTAAACAACAACACCTCCCTCCCTGACAGGGCTGTAAGGCTTAGTGTGGGGTAGCGTTTGCCAAGTGCTCTCAGTGTTCAAAAACGCTATATAAATGCTAAGTACTCTTTGTGTAGAGAATGTTTGAATCCAGGCCTTCCTGCTCTGAGGCAAATCCCCACTCAGCGACTGAGCTCCCAGAGTGACCTTGAGCCTGTCTTGATCTTTCTCGTTCTCTCTCAGCCTAACATACTTTGTAAGAGCCTAGCAGGGATTTAAAAACAAAAAAAGAGATAATCCCCCACGTAGGTCACCCTGAGCTCCTCGGGAGGAAGGGCGGGATACAAAACGTGGTGTCATGGCAACGTGTTTGCGTCTGAGGTAAAAAAAATAAATCCAAAATGGCGCTCTGCACACTCTTGGTAGTTAACCCAGGGCACTATGCAGCTGTTAAGTTCTCAAGCCCCACTGCGATGGAAGGGAAAGGGGCCCAGATGGTCCCAAGTGTAATGTAGTGGTCAGAGTGTCAGACTTGGACCTGAGAGATCTGGGTTCAAATTCCATTCTGCCATGAAAGAAAGCTTCCTGGGTGATTTCAGCTCCATCGTCCACTGTCAGGGTAACCCTGAGGCAGGGGGAAGCATGCACGCCACCCTGAATGCCTGGGGGGAAAGGTCGGATAAAATGTACTAGGAGGAAGCTAGATGACGGCAGTCTGTCTCCCAAGGTGTTGAAAAAGACAGTGCCGTGTATTTGGTTGCTGTAAATGGGGGCAAACATCAGCTGCTGCCCCCTTGCTGGCCTTACCGGAGACCTGAGCAGGAGACTGGGCCTCAGTTGCCTCAGGAATTTAACACCCAAGTGGGAACATGAACCAGGCCTGTTGGCAGTCCCTTGTCAAACTGTTTGAGCTTTGAAGATGGGGGGGGGGGATGCAGACAGGACTGCCTTGGAGAGCCCTGGAGGGTAATGGGGAAAAGCTGTTTATTGGGCCTTCCTCCCCATGTTCTCTCCCCCAAACGTCAAGCTGTAGGTTGAATGCTTGTACCGAAAATGCAGGGGGGGACATCCCTTGGGTGTCCAGCGAGCATTTCCCATACAGTCTCAAGAGTGTTTTTGCAACCTTATAGGGACTAGAAACTTAATTTTTTTTTTTAAAAAAAAAAGGAAGAGCCAAGGTCCTCAGATAGCTGAATGCTATGCCCAATCCAATGCTGCATCAGGCTCTCTGGGAGAGTCACAGCACATACTGTGCTTGACAGGGCCTTCCTTAGGGCTGCCAAGTCCCCCCGGGGGGCGGATAATCCCCTGCTTTGGAGGCCCGATTTCCGCTGCCGTGGAATCGGGCCCGGGGGGGGGGGGCCCCCCCCCCGGCATGCACACCAGCTGGATGTGACGTGATGACGCCGGGCACGCTGGGGGCCGTCCGGGAGCCCCCCGCTGCACAGAGAAACGGACTTGGCAACCCTAGCCTTCCTAGAACTGCCTCAGGCTTACCTCACACTGCTTCCTCTCCTACCCTGTGAACACATAGAAGCTGCCCTGGTCCATCTAGTGCAGTACTGTCTCCTCCAACTGGCAGCAGCTCTGCAGTGACTCGTGAGGGAAAAGGTCTTTCTCAGCACCTGTGGCTTGAGATCCTTTAAGTGGAGATGCTGGGGATTGAACCCTGGAACCTTCCGCAAGCACGGAGCCACTACAGCTGAGCTGCCCTCCTGGGCCTGTTTCATTTGTGGCAGCTTCAAAGCCTTCAGGGAAAGGATTCTCTGGGCGATTCTCCACTGGCTTTTCCCGCCGTTGTTTTCGGAAACCCACATTGGAACAGAAGCTCCCCTCTGCATTGCATGCTGCTTTCACTTTCTTTGATCGTCAGATTTTATGGTACCCTCTACACTGCATGCCGCTTTCGCTTTCTTTGACCATCGAGTTTTATGGTACCTTCTGCATAGATTTATGGCCATTCAGGGGTATGGCATTGCCCCCAGGTATCTGAATGTGGTTTTGAGCTGCACCTTTTCCTCAGTGTTGAGAAAATGTGGAGCGAATGCTAGATGCAGAATCTCTCTCTCTCTCTCTGTCTTTCCAATTTCCATACTGCACCTGGACAGGTGCCACTTTGAGGTCCCATACAATAATGGAAAGACAAGGTTAAACAAAATACTCCTAATAAGAACGAACACACGTTGTTGGCACAGGCCTGGACCTGCGTGCCAACTTCATTCTCCCAATTGTCTTCTCTCCGCGCCCTCAGCTAAGGTGATCAGATCGGTCTTGGCAGCGGCTCCGCTCCTTTGGAACGGAGAAACGAGGAGGGCACTGACTCTGGCAGTTTTCAGGAAACACCACAAAGCAGCACGATTTAGGAGAGTGTTTGAGGAAGGTTAATCCTCTCCCTTACGGCAGCTTTACATTCATTGGGGTTGGGAGGGCGGTAGACTAATAAATCATAGACAAATTATATTGAAATGGTATGGTGTTTTATTCACTGTTGGGCTGGGGCTGGGTATGTCAGATCCTAGTTTCTGTAAGCTGCCTTTAGTCCTCGCACGAGGAGATAAGATGGAATACAACTTTTTCAATAAATTCACCAAGTTTAATAACCATGAAACAGTTGTACCCTGGTGGGGAAGGCAGTGTGGCATACCCCGATCTTGTCCGCTCGCGGAAGCTAACCAGGATGGGAGACCATCAAAGAGGGCTCTGCAGAAGAAGACAATCGCAAACCACCTCTGCTTCTAACCTGCCCCGAAAGCCGCCTCCTGGGGTCACCCTAAGTCACTTGTGACTTGACAGCACTTAGGTATGTAGCTGTACCCTGCCTTTCTCTCAAAGAACCCAAGGTGGCTTACAGCCCATAGGCCAACAGGCATCGAGTTATATTAAAAATGATCGAGTACAAGTAGACAGAGAGCTGACGCGGAGAAAGAAATGTGGTGTTGGAGGAGAGTTTGGCGGATGCGGTGAACCACCAAAGAGACAAACCAGTGGGTTCCGGATGAAATCAAGCCCGAGCTCTCCCTAGAGGCTGAAATGACTAAACTGAGGCTATTGTACTTGGGTCACATGGTGAGAAGACAAGACTCACTGGAAAAGACAATAATGCCAGGAAAAGTGGAAGGCAGCAAGAAAAGAGGAAGACCCAACAGGAGATGGATTGAGAAGGAAGCCACCACAGACCTCAGTTTGCAAGACCTGAACAAGGCTGCTACCTCTAGGAGGTTTCGGAGGTCATTCATTCATAGGGTTGCCTTAAGTCGGAAGCAACTTGACAGCACTTCACACACACACACACACACACACACATCCCAGACAAGCTCTCAAATACTGCTAAGATGTTACGTAAGGGCTGCCTTCCAACCTCTGTCCTGCCTAGAGATGTAAAATTTCCGGAAATTTTGAAGCTCGGGAAAAAAACCCGTTTTTTCCCCGGGTTTTTTCGGGGGGAAATGGAAATTTTCGGAAAAATTGAAAAAAATGCTACATTAACATTTTTTTTGTCTTTTCTAGATCGAAAGTCATTCTGTTACTTTAGGAACATAAAATATGACATTTTTACTTGGCATGAAATTATCACAACTAGCATATTAAAAATATAGTGTATGCAAACAATTAGTACAAACAGAATACCCTCCCACATGCAAAAACAAAACTGAAACTTTTTTATTTTCTTCTGACAATCGCACCTCCTAAAGGAAGAAATGCATCTTGTTCTTGCATTGGAGAATTCTGTTTGTAACCTAGGACTTGCTTGTCCTCAGTGCACAGAAATTAGATCAATCTGATACCAAATATATATATATATTAGAAATTATTTGGAAGATATTTGAACACTTTGTCTTAAAATATTTTATTCATCATGTTAAAATAAAACGTTCCATAGTCAATTTTTTTTCTTTTTTCAATTTTTCGGAAAAAAACAAAAAGGATTCAGGAAAAACCCGTTTTCCGGGGCTTCACATCTCTAGTCCTGCCTGAGTCTGCCATGCGGGGAGGGTGGAATAGAAACTGAAAATAATAAATACATAAATAAATAATAATAAACCAATGGAGGAGACTACGGCCTTCTGATCTGCTCAGGTGACCCATTCCACAAGGCTGGAGCTGTGCTCTGGGCTCAGTACGGAAAACTGGTTCAGGGAAGTGGTAGAATCGCTGGCCTTAGTCAAGCTACCCTGGCACCCCCTTCGCAGCAGAGATCGCAACACAGGCCCTGCCTCACAGGGCTGTTGTACCAACAATGTACGTGAAGCAGTCTGGGAAGCTCCATATAAACGTGTTATCGTTTCTTCCAAATTACAAATGATAG